AGTGACAAAGTACTGGATTTGACCTAGTTCTTGACCTTTGACCTAGATAAAAATTTGACCCAATTTCCCACCAACTAGAGACTGAACCTAAACAAACTGTATTATGGTCTTTACTGGATACCTTATAGTTATTGAGAAAACTCAAAAAGAAAAATAAGAATAACTAGACTTTGGAAATTGAACGAAGTTCAATTTCAGACTCCAGATCTAGACTTTTTTAAACCCAGTCATCTAAAATAAGCCGAGTCATCCAGAATAAGCTGAGTCATCCAGAATAAGATGGATGGATAAAATAGGAAGGTAGGATAGGATAGAATGGGAAGGAACGATAGGATAGAATAAGAAAGAAGAATAGGATAGAACAGAATATGAAGAAAGGATATGATAGGAGAGGATAGGAAGGATAGGAAGGAAAGGATACGAAGGAAGGATAGATAAGGAGGATAGGATAGGATCAGATAGGAAGGATGGATGAATTTTTCAATATTTTCTTCTCTACTCTTGACTTTCTATCAGGATACCATCAGATCGATTTTCCGAAATTTCAAAACGCCATAACTTCCGAACCGGAAGTCGGATCTAAATTTGATTTAAAGTTTCGGATTCCTGACAAAATTCTACCCCTAATTCATAACTCATACGTTAAATTTGGCGAATTTTTATTTTGACCTACTTTTTGGACACGGCATTACTTCGGAACCGGAAGTCGGATCGAAATTTGGTTTGCAGACTCGAATTCCTGAGAAAATTCTACTCTTAATTCATAACTCATATGTTAAATTTGGAGAACTTTTTTTTTGACCTACTTTTCGGACACCATATCTTAAAAGTGGGTCAAAATACTTTCTGACGGCAAAAGGCTAACACTATTAGCACACTCTTTCCTACCTGTATACAAAATTTTGAAGCAAATCATTTAAATATAGTGTCAGAATCGCAAAAATAAGGAAAAACTATGAATTTGACCTAGATTTTGACCTAGGGATTTTGGTGTCCAAATTTTAAAGTTGGGTAGCCTTCGAGGTCCCTTCTTTCATAGGCTTTCATTATTTTAAGCTGTACTTAATCTATATCTCGTATTTTACACTTCAAAAAAATCTTTTATCCCATTGACATAACATGGGGCACCAAATTTAGCGATTTTTGAGCTTTCAAAATGTCATAACTTCCGAACCGGAAGTCGGATCGAAATTTGGTTTTTAGATTCGGATTCCTGAGAAAATTCTGTACTTAATTCATGACTCAAACGTTAAATTTGGAGAATTTTTTATTTTGACCTACTTTTCGGACACCATATCTCAAAAGTGGGTCAAAATACTTTCTGACGGCAAAAGGCTAACACTATTAGCACACTCTTGGCTACATGTATACAAAATTTCGAAGAATATAATTAATCTGTAGTGTCAGAATCGCAAAAATAAGGAAAAACTTTGAATTTGACCTAGATATTGACCTAGGCATTTTGGTGTCCAAATTTTTATGAAAAGAAGGTTTTGAGGTCCCTTTCTTCTATGGGCTTCCATTATGTTTAGCTGTGCTTAGTCTATATCTCGTATTTCACACTTCAAAAAAATATTTTTTCCCATTGAATTAACATGGGGCACCAAATTTAGCGATTTTTGAATTTTCAAAACGCCATAACTTCTTAACCGGAAGTCAGATCGAAATTTGGTTTTCAGATTCGGAATCCTGCGAAAATTTCCTATAAGACTGATATCCTGGACATTGGATTCGGAGAACTTTTTTTTGGACCTCGTTTTCGGACACTGATATCTCGAAATCGGTTTGAGATATCAAAAAACTAAATCGACCCTGGGTTTCCTACTTTTTTATAAGGAACACAATGAAAAAAACCTGAATCAAAAATATTGAAGGACGACCGAGAAAATCAAAAAAAGTGACAAAGTACTGGATTTGACCTAGTTCTTGACCTTTGACCTAGATAAAAATTTGACCCAATTTCCCACCAACTAGAGACTGAACCTAAACAAACTGTATTATGGTCTTTACTGGATACCTTATAGTTATTGAGAAAACTCAAAAAGAAAAATAAGAATAACTAGACTTTGGAAATTGAACGAAGTTCAATTTCAGACTCCAGATCTAGACTTTTTTAAACCCAGTCATCTAAAATAAGCCGAGTCATCCAGAATAAGCTGAGTCATCCAGAATAAGATGGATGGATAAAATAGGAAGGTAGGATAGGATAGAATGGGAAGGAACGATAGGATAGAATAAGAAAGAAGAATAGGATAGAACAGAATATGAAGAAAGGATATGATAGGAGAGGATAGGAAGGATAGGAAGGAAAGGATACGAAGGAAGGATAGATAAGGAGGATAGGATAGGATCAGATAGGAAGGATGGATGAATTTTTCAATATTTTCTTCTCTACTCTTGACTTTCTATCAGGATACCATCAGATCGATTTTCCGAAATTTCAAAACGCCATAACTTCCGAACCGGAAGTCGGATCTAAATTTGATTTAAAGTTTCGGATTCCTGACAAAATTCTACCCCTAATTCATAACTCATACGTTAAATTTGGCGAATTTTTATTTTGACCTACTTTTTGGACACGGCATTACTTCGGAACCGGAAGTCGGATCGAAATTTGGTTTGCAGACTCGAATTCCTGAGAAAATTCTACTCTTAATTCATAACTCATATGTTAAATTTGGAGAACTTTTTTTTTGACCTACTTTTCGGACACCATATCTTAAAAGTGGGTCAAAATACTTTCTGACGGCAAAAGGCTAACACTATTAGCACACTCTTTCCTACCTGTATACAAAATTTTGAAGCAAATCATTTAAATATAGTGTCAGAATCGCAAAAATAAGGAAAAACTATGAATTTGACCTAGATTTTGACCTAGGGATTTTGGTGTCCAAATTTTAAAGTTGGGTAGCCTTCGAGGTCCCTTCTTTCATAGGCTTTCATTATTTTAAGCTGTACTTAATCTATATCTCGTATTTTACACTTCAAAAAAATCTTTTATCCCATTGACATAACATGGGGCACCAAATTTAGCGATTTTTGAGCTTTCAAAATGTCATAACTTCCGAACCGGAAGTCGGATCGAAATTTGGTTTTTAGATTCGGATTCCTGAGAAAATTCTGTACTTAATTCATGACTCAAACGTTAAATTTGGAGAATTTTTTATTTTGACCTACTTTTCGGACACCATATCTCAAAAGTGGGTCAAAATACTTTCTGACGGCAAAAGGCTAACACTATTAGCACACTCTTGGCTACATGTATACAAAATTTCGAAGAATATAATTAATCTGTAGTGTCAGAATCGCAAAAATAAGGAAAAACTTTGAATTTGACCTAGATATTGACCTAGGCATTTTGGTGTCCAAATTTTTATGAAAAGAAGGTTTTGAGGTCCCTTTCTTCTATGGGCTTCCATTATGTTTAGCTGTGCTTAGTCTATATCTCGTATTTCACACTTCAAAAAAATATTTTTTCCCATTGAATTAACATGGGGCACCAAATTTAGCGATTTTTGAATTTTCAAAACGCCATAACTTCTTAACCGGAAGTCAGATCGAAATTTGGTTTTCAGATTCGGAATCCTGCGAAAATTTCCTATAAGACTGATATCCTGGACATTGGATTCGGAGAACTTTTTTTTGGACCTCGTTTTCGGACACTGATATCTCGAAATCGGTTTGAGATACCAAAAAACTAAATCGACCCTAGATTTTCTACTTTTTTATGAGGAACACAATGAAAAAAACCCGGATCCAAAATATTGAAGGACGACCGAGAAAATCGAAAAAAGTGACAAAGTACTGGATTTGACCTAGTTCTTGACCTTTGACCTAGATAAAAAATTGACCCAATTTCCCACCAACTAGATACTGAACCTAAATAAACTGTATTATGGTCCTTACTGGATACCTCATAGTTATTGAAAAAACTCCTAAAGAATAATAAGAATAAGAATAAGAAGAATACTGGCAAAAACAATAGACTCCAGATTGACATCTGGAGTCTAATAATAATAATAAGAAGAAGAATAAGAATACTGGCAAAAACAATAGACTCCAGATTGACATCTGGAGTCTAATAAGAAGAAGAAGAATACTGGCAAAAACAATAGACTCCAGATTTTCAATCTGGAGTCTAATAATAAGAATACTGGCAAAAACAATAGACTCCAGATTGACATCTGGAGTCTAATAATATAATATAATTTTATCGAAACACTTATCTGTGTCAAGTTGCCTTGAAGTGTATAAAAATAGCAAGAGGAATCTTGCATCAAAGTGCACATTAAAAAGCACAATGAACACTTATAATGCCTAAAGAACCTTCACAGATGAAATAAGATGTACATTTACATTCATGGCCATATCTACAAGAATCACAAACGCCCCTCACTTTTTATTGGCGTTTTTGAAAACCTTTGAAAGAACGAGGGTATAAAGAGGGTAATTAGTAGCAGGATTAAATATTATAAATTAGTATTCGCATTTATATCCTTTACTCACAGTAATATAATTTCCTCACAAACTTTTGATGTTCACCAGTCACGTGTGCAGCAGTTGAATGTCCCTTTTAAACTCCAGTCATGTATTGCACATTGACCAATCAGAGAGTGAGAAAGATGACAATGATATGATAATGAAAAATATCAGTACCTAACGGTATTGATATGTTAACGTTTACCTTTTCTTGTCGCTATTCGTACAATGTGAAATGCAATTTCTATTTAACAATTAAAAGATGTCATTATTGTTGATGGATAATCACTACGTACACTTCAGATGTTTTAGGCAATTGTTATTATGCATAGGAATCATTTTCTCGAGTGTTTCGTCAACTAGTCGTTATAAGCACTTGAAAAGTACACAAATGCACCTTAATAAATAAACACGCACCACATTTAAATAAATACTGTTAGCGATAAACTCCAGTACTATTTTAGATGATTATGGACGATATAATTTCTTCTGAGTTTCCACATCCCCTCATTTTACTTTTTAAGACTACCTCGATTACTGGTTGAATTCAATCCACACTCATGCTGGGAAGTCATCTCCTGAAACCCAATCACTGACCCCCCCTGTCATCATAGTTGGGACACATAAAGATGCTCATAATGTGGTAAGGCCCCACACAAAGTTTGAAGGTAGTATAAGAAACATATAGCTTATTCATTTCATTTTTGTCCCATACCACTCCTTTTTATTATACCTAGTACCCAAAATTCCAAAAACACCATACTTCATACAAGATAAAGATGAAATTGTTTGTGTTAGTTCCTCTGTAAATGTATGTATCACAATATTATGGATCTTTTGGGAGATAATTTTAATGAGATTTTTTTCATTATACATTATTTTCAAAAATCTCTTCAATCGCCCGAATGCATAATAGAAGAGTAGAGTACAAAGGAAACAAGAGTATAAGATATTGGAAAGAGTGATATTGGTAGATCAATTGTAAATGTTGCTATCAATTTTGTCATCCCTTGTTACTCTAATTCTAGCTTTAAACCACTTTGGTTTATGTTTTTGTCTTACCCAATTTTATCAGAATGAGATAATTGTTTTTATAAAGTTGTTATCATTGATTCCGAAGTTTAGTTCAAAATGCTACAATTTAATAGAAACATACAGGTATGTAACTGGTACTAAAATACTATACTAGTACTTAAATACTGCAAGATACTCCATATATCATACGTAGTGTAGAACTTAATCTTTTGCTGTTATAATGGCGTTCAAAATTCGAATAATTTAAAAGCTAACACTTTCCCCACATTTTAAAGCCGTGTCAGATACTTTTTAAATGTATTTCAATTTGTAACCATTTATAGTTGTAACTCCACGTGCGATCAAAACAAAATTAATATTTTGGGGTAATGGAAACTCAACACGCTGTCAAATTCATTTATGATTGTAAAATTGCGACACTATTCATCAGCAATTTATTTTCATTTCAGACTGTCCAGTACATAAACGACTATTTTCACAAGATAGACACTAACCTCCATAGCAAGGTCTACTTTCGTCATGTTAAAACATACATTGCAGTTGATAACAAATCCGATGACGACCCTGAGTTGAACAGACTAAAGAAGACAATCGTTCAGCTAGCAGAAGGTCAAGGATTCTGGGGGCAGAAGGTACCTATTAAATGGTTGCTTCTTGAGAAACATCTTCGTGGATTAAAAGTAGAATCCGAAGATCGAGAGCCAGTGCGCTTTCTTAAGTTTGAAGAAGTCAAAGCGATTGGTTTGAGAGAAGAAATGGACCAGGCATCTGTCACAGCTTGCCTTGAATTTTATCACTCAGTCGGAGACATGATTTTCTTCAATGAAAACAACCTCTGTGATCTTGTGATTCTTGATCCCCAGTGGCTCATCGATGTTTTCAAGAGTGTTATAACAGTACCAAAGTTCGACATAGACTCGAGTGAACAGAGCGAGTCTGAAAGAACTGTTTGGGAGATACTGGATAAAGATGGTGTTATTATGGAGAAATCAATTGAAACCGTATGGAAGGATCGTTACGCTAAATTATCGATTCCTAGCGATGTTATGATAGATATCATGCAACGATTTGACTTAATTTGTCCATTTGGAAATAACCAGAGAAGTTTTCAGGAGAAACGACAATTCTTTGTGCCTTGTTTGCTTCCCAAGCCAGAGCCCAGTGACGTTATAAAAAACAAGCCACTTGCTGTTGGCACGCTTTTCTACACATTCTCTTTCCTCCCTAAAGGGCTCTTTCATCGACTCGTTGCCAAAATCTGCCAAGAGAATAAATGGTCTTTACATGGCAAATTATACTTTGATTATGCTGTTTTTAAAGTTACTGATCAACTTCATGTGTTGACACTCCTAGCAGAAGAAAATTACCTTGAGTTGAAAATTCACCAACTTTTGAAAGAAAGAACGAATCGGAGACAAAATAGCGATATGTGTTTGACGATCCGTGAGGACATCGAGGCAATTCTGAAGTCTGCCATTAAGATCTATTGTCCAAGTGTCAGCTTTAAGGCATCCGTCAGGTGCAGATGCCTAAATATCCAAGAAGGGCAAAAGTTAGTGCCAATTTCAACGGATGAAATAAACAGGGGTCACAAACTATGTGATTTTCATACAAATTGTGAGGCTATAGATCTGCAAGATTACAAACCCTGGTTCCAAATGATGGAAGGAAACTATGGTAAGTGTATAGAAACTAAAGTGTAAGTGTACGTACATGTATTTCCAATAAAATTGAGTTCAGACGTAAGTTGGTATGAAATTAAAGTCTGAATAGTTACTTTTGAATGACCAGAGGAAGGACACCTCGTAAAAAGCACTTAATATATTGCTGCATAACGTTCTTGAATAATAACAACATTCTTTCCTTTTTCGTGACGAACGAATGACATCGACTGGTGTCCGTGTAATTGTTGTAATACCTTGTTGGTTTGTAATGGTTGTTGCTGAAGTATGAACAAAACAGGAGATTCAGAGGTGACCAAACTAGATGCGTAAGATGAGATGCAATATAATAATATAGCACTGAATTTAGCAAATGCGAGTAGGTAGTTACCAGTTTCACCACCAGGTGGCTCGCTCGGGTCAGATAGCATGGCGGGTATAGTAGAAAGTTCCTTTTAACTTAAATTACATCTGTTTGAGTGGTTCAATTTTCATATAGCCCTTGTGTATCGAATAGTTATGCAAATTAAAGTATGTCCAGTAAAAGAAAATATTATATGTCCAATACAAGAAAAAATATTTCACTTTTTGTGATTTTGTAATATGGGGTCTATGGGGAATCAACCCGAACAAGAAGTCACATTTTCAAAAAAGATTAAATTTTCAAAGTTGATAAACAATTTTCGAAACCATATTTTTAGATGTATTTTTACATGTAGATTTCAAATATGACATCACTTTGACTGGATTTTGAATATTTAATGACGTAAATCACGATCATATCTACTCGCATCTAGTCTAATAGACTTAGACGTGCCTTATTCCTATAAGGGACCTAATATTTGTGTTTGATTTGTAGATAATGTATCAAAGGCCGCGTGTTTCATTTTTAGATATCAACGTTTATTTCTTGGAACTATTTCCCAATTTCTTGAACAATGTGCACATGTGTCGTAAGCACATGCACGTGGGAACAACAGGATGTCCCCAAAACTCATGAGAATTTTTCAGAGGGAGAGAGATACAGGGCATGAATGATTTAAGGATTTAAGCCCTGGACTCTGTGCCCTGGACAATGTGAAATGATCATTCCTTGAAAATGTTGCTTTCTAAAATTTGCACGAGATGCGGAGCATCGAGTGCTAATTGTAGGAAGCAACGTCTGAAAGGAATGGTCATTACACAATGCATCGAGCTGTCTTGGGCTTAAATTCTTTTCACACATTGCAAAATATTTTCTTCCATGTCACCTAAAAGATTCGAAATCACTAAAAAGACATATTTTCAATGACATTTTTTGCAAGGATCAAGTTGGCAAACAATCAATTATAGTCTGTTGAGTGAACTTGTCACCTTTGCAACCACATGAGGAATGACTTTGGATGGGTTATTGGAATTTCATGCACAGTGCATTATATCATCATGATACACCATGACATCTCATTTCTTCTCAGCCCTGAGATGCCATGATATAATGAGCTTGATTTGGCGATCCAGGAGAGCCCAAAATTGAGGATTTTTGGGATCTTTCATCCCAGCTCATATTTCATTTAATTGGGGTCATTAAACTTGTGTACACATGCCTGTGCTAATATCTGCTGTTAAATACAATGCCTATTATGTAATGTATTGACATTAGGTAAATGATTACATGATAACTATCACACTTATTGACAGTTATAACTCTTCCCATCTGATGTGCTCAGATCACAGAATATGCCTTATAATATCAGAGCATGTTTCAGGTGAAACAGAAAGATGCTATGAGTATCAGAATGGCATTATATGAATTACTGTGTTCGAATTGGCTGAAATTGGACACACCTTGGTTAATTATGTGTGAATGTTCTTTAAAAGTGCGTGTATTGTTAAAGATACTTTTAGGAATAACTCATTTGCGTATAACCCTATGACAGCTTCTATTTTATACTGCTCAGTGTCAATGCCATCTATGACATATGGTAAAGAAATTTTACAATTTAAAAAAGCGAGTATGACGCACTTGAGGACACGCACAGACAAAAAGCCAAACAAATTCAGCAACTTCCATGTTGCGTCCATAATGAAGCTTCACTAGCACAAAGAAGTTAATGTTTTTGTGGTGCATCTTACATTTATGATACCAACAGGAAGCTTGTACAAATCACTTTTTATTGTTTAGCTTTTCAGATGGAAAGAAACGTCACTACATTCGAGCCTACACAGCAAATATTAACCAATAAATGCAATTTTAAATTTGTTAACGAGGTATAACTTGTGGTTTTTCTTAAACGAATATGTCGTAAATTATGATCTTATGCCCAAAATGTGCTTGGAAGCGAATCCTTAAATCACGAATAATGCAATATGAAGTAAATAGGTGACACATAATATGTACTGTGTCAAGCTCACTCCGTCTATATAAAATGGTACAAGATTCGATAAAGCCACGCGTATGGTGGCACACTAGCCAAAGTAATTGCAAGCTCTTATCAAGGTGTAAAGAAATTGTGAAATTGTTAACGGGAGTCACGCCTGCAAATGAGACGATAGTTCATTTTTTATTAGAATGTCCAGAATTGTCAGAAGAAAGAGCTTCAATTAGAGATGTCATGTTTAGAAACGTAGTATTTCATGATCATAGTGTGCAAGAGAAGGTAGAAATATTACTTGGTAAGGCAGATCTCCTAAATTTTTGTGAGTACATCCAAATATTGTTTTGCATATGCAATATGCTAAATTAATGCTTTGGGATGCAGTTCCGGTGTTCATCGTATTATCCAGATATCCTTCCCTATGTAGTTGCTTATGTTTTTGGCGTTGTGCATATTTTATAACGATGTCATGGGTCTATTTTATACTTTCATATTTATTTTCTTATTCTATATACTACATGTTGTAATTTTTAAAATTTAAGATAATTTATGTGCTCATCTTTAAGGTGGAAATAAAGAAACATAAACATAAACATAAACTGACACATAAGTTTCAGGCACAGGTTCAAGTTTCAAAATCCACAGACATTATACTTCTACATCGCCAAATACCCCAAAGTTTTCCGAGAGATACAGTTTACATCACTTTTTGTTAATCTTCTCAGCTATATTAGCAATGTTTTTTTAAAAAATAAATTGAGGGTACTTGGTAATCAGTAAATAGGATCATGCATATTTAGCTCAAGTCAGTCTTCCTTATTCAAAGTAATTTCCCTGGTTGTCCATTATATGTTGAAACTTGTCCGGTCACTCTTTATACACCTTCTCGAATAACTCTTAAGCCATTTTCTGTAGAAACAAATACTTTAATGGTCGCTATTCCAGTGTTTGTGGCGTAATATTGTAATCGTGCAATAATTGTATGACAGCTACACGCCTGAAAACGTCAACACATATTAACCAATTTTTTACCTGTGTGGCAAGTCTAAAGTAAATCAACCCCTTATGCCTCCCTCAAAAAAGTCTCATGAGTTCTTGGACACTCTGTATTTTTGACTAAGTTGTAAGTTCTACTTTTCATTTTGATTCTTAAACTCAACTCAGAAATGCATGACTCATAAAATGTTAATGGAATAATAAATGGAAGGTGAAAATAAGCTCTGGTAGCAGAGCAGCAACGCGAGAACCTATGTATACAGTTCCTGATTATTAATACATAAAAATAAAGAAAACGTTATTTAACGTGTGTCTCTCGACAAAATTGGTCAGTGGCCATCCCCGGACAGAGCCCTAGATGTAACAATACGATTCAGATTCCCGGATGTACATAATACACGGCCGTTCACCTATGGAACACAACTGTATTCGCGCCATCTATAAACTGCAAACAACGTCAATATTTCACACGGTTTCTGTCGCCGATACAATAACTGCTAAACCAGATGAGGAAATTCAAGTTAAAACTCTTGATTGAGTTTTCATGTACATGTTCAAATCGTGATATAGACCTCAGATCAGGTATTATATCGAATTATTAATACCTTAGGACTAAGCACAAAAGCTATCAAACCTGCAGAAAAACATTTACAAGTGCAAGGCCCGATGGTTTTTATTCGTCAAAATATTACCTAGTCTTCGGTCTATATTTCTAAATTAAAGAACGGCTTTGCTGCATTTCAATTGGTTGAGAAACTCAATAGACTAGATGCGTGTAGAAAATATCTTGATTTATGTCATTAAATATTCAAAATTCAATCAAAGTGATGTCCTTTTTTGAAATCTAGAAATATGGTTTCGAAAATTGTATATCAACTTTGAAAATGTAATTGTTTTTGAAAATGTGACTTCTAGTTCGGGATAACATTTCCCAAATATAACTGCCAATCAAATATATGGAATAGGTAAAGTAAAGAATTACAGAAATATACTGATAGCAAAGTTATCTATTCACAAGTGGTATATTGAAAAATGTGTGAGTAACTTAAATATTTACAGGTCTGGTACAAAGGTACAAAGATGAGTGTACCAGACCTGTAAATAATAATGTATAACTGAAATAAATGAATAAAAAAGTTCGGGTTGATTCCCAATAGACCCCATGTTACAAAATCACAAAAAGTGAAATATGCTTTCTTGTATTAGACAGATAACATTTTCTTTTACTGGACACATTCTAATTTGCATAACTATTAGATACACAAGGGCTATATGGATATTTTTCCACTAAAACAGATGTATTTTAACTTTAAGGGAACTTTCTACTATACCCGCAATGCTATCTGAACCGAATGAGCCACCTGGTGGTGAAACTGGTAACTACATGTACCTACTCGCACCTACGTTATTAGAGAAGGGTCATGAATATATTATAAATTATGGAAAATTGCCAGATTATTCATTTTGAAAGGTTTTAATTTTATTTGCAAATTATCTTTCAAGATATTGGACTGACCGATACTGAGCTACTCGACATTGGCAAGAAATTGGGGAATAAAACTGAAGAGATTGCCACTCGGCTTGGTATCAGCAAACCTGAAATGGAAAACATCAAACAGAGTAACCCACATAATGCCGAACCCTGGGGATTCAACATGCTTGTAAAATGGAGAAACAGACAGGAATCAGATGTAAACCAAAGAAAAGTACTGACCGATGCTCTCAAGCGGGCAGGAAGAGTTGATCTAGCTGATCGAGTTGGGGCCAAGTGCGGGAGATTTGAGCGCAGATATAAACAAGATAAGGATGTCTGGTATCGGTGTTGTTTATTATGACTGTTACTAGTGTATAACAGAAAAGGTGACAGAAATGTATCATATTTCTACCAATT